CCCACCTCTTTACCTCTTTTTTCCACTCCCCCGTCCCCCCATTGTGTCAGGTAACTGGACCATTGAAAGCGAGCGTATTTTTCGTTGAGTGAGATGCTGTAACCGGCGTGTACGGTATTCGCGTGCGCGCGCACGCGTTTGTGTATATGTGTATGTGTGCGTGTGTGCGTGTGTGTGCGCGCGCGTGTGTGTGTTTTCCACGGAGACTCCAGCGTTGCCGCTTTGGGACAGCGGAACCCGGTATGAGCCTGCGTGCGTGAGGTGTGCGTTCGTGCTTGCGTGCGTCGACACACGCGTGTCTGTGTGAGGTGATCGCTCTCTCCCGTGACGGGCGCGCGCGCGCGAAGATGCACGCGCCGGCTGGCCGGTCGGTCGGTACGGTTCTGGTCTATCAGTTTATCTTGCGGCCGCCTCTCCTCGCCCCCTTTCCCTTCCGCAGCCGTTTCCCTTGATAACCTCATACGCGCTTCTATTGGCGCGCTGATGGCTGCGCCGCGCCAGCATCCTTGGTGCCGCCGAAAAATTTATAGATGCATTCAGGGTGACAAGGCCGGAAATGTTTACCTGTCTTGCCTCTGGCTCTGCAGTTGACCAGACTATCTCTTCGGGTCTTCTCGACTTCCGTTCAAGAGTAGAGTGCTACGGATTTCGTGAAATTTGCTCTCATATGTTTCGGCTGAATCCACGACATTTGTGTCTTTCAATTAATAATGAAGTCTCCAATCTGATTTTGGTTGAGGCTTCGGATTGGTGGTATGAGCTGCGAGGTTAGGGGTCATCCAGAAAGTACGTCTGCCAAAGCTGAGCCAATGCAAGCTCTCATAGCGCCTGATGGGTAGGCAAAATCTCGCATGCAGCGCAAGCGTGTACTGCGGGGTGGCCTAACCGGAGTCTCGCGGGCGCCGAGGCCGAGCTTCTTTAATTTGAAGAATGAGTGTAAGAGGAATAACGGGTCTAATTTTAGATCAATTCCTTATAGGGGACGGCGTACAGAGCCATACTCATACTCCCTCCGGTGCTGTAACTGCGCTCCGCGGGAGCCAGCAGCTCGCGCCGGCACGCTGGACCGTCCTGGACCAAATTACTCAATCGCCGGGAGGGGTCGTCGGGCGGCGAGGAGCCCGGCCTGGAAGATGCGGCGGCTATTGAAAATAAAAGTGGTCCCGCAAGTTCACGGCCGGGGCGGGGCACGGGCCGCTGGCGGGGCG